CAGCAATCACAACATCATGGCTACGTAGGAGAAGGATCCGGGTACTGAAATGGCCAGCCTGCAGTCCAGATCTTTCACCTATAGAGAACATTTGGCGCATCATAAAGAGGAAGGTGCGACAAAGAAGGCCCAAGACGATTGAACAGTTAGAGGCCTGTATTAGACATGAATGGGAGAGCATTCCTATTTCTAAACTTGAGAAACTGGTCTCCTCTGTCCCCAGACGTCTGTTGAGTGTTGTAAGAAGAAGGGGGGATGCCACACAGTGGTAAAAATGGACTTGTCCCAACTTTTTGGGGATTTGTTGACGCCATGAAATTTGGAAACAACAGATTTTTCCCTTAAAATGATACATTCTCTCAGTTTAAACTTTTGATCTGTGATTTGTGTTCTATTCTGAATAAAATATTAGATGTTGGCACCTCCACATCATTGCATTCAGTTTTTATTCACAATTTGTATAGTGTCCCAACTTTTTTGGAATCCAGTTTGTAATTTATTTCAGCTATAAATCTTTTATGTAATGCAATACATGTATGATACCAATTAAACATACAGATTTTTTTGTACGATCCAACTTTAGGGCTGTCCTGTTTGTGCAAATGTGCCTTTGTGTGTATGAAATCAGGGGGTGTATGTGACGCTCAGCATTATTAAAAATGACTTGCCCCTGTGGCACACTGGGATGGCAGTGATTATAATATCCAGATAATCATTTCAAACAAATTATTATAATTATCAATCAATCATGAGCCTATTTAAACAGGGGGGAAGGCATGGAGGAGTATGGGGCTGTTGGCAGAAGGTAGACTATGACCTGAGGCATTGGATCACTTCTGTGACCCATGAGCCTCCCTGTGTCCATAATAGCCCTCATACATTTAGAGCCATTTAGGTTGTGCATTTAGAGACTCAATTCTCCTGGAAAGGGAGAGGTGGAGGCAGACACACATCATAGATTCACAAGTTTAACTAACCTGCAGTTTACTTCTCAGTCTTTGAATATGAAGAGGGAAAAGTTACTTATAGGTCAGAATTCCTATCAACCCAAAGAAAATTCACATTTACAGCAAATTTTGCATCATGATGCAAATGATTACAGCCAAGTTCTTAAGATTCAGTAACAGAACTTAAAAAAAGCCACATGCAGCAGGAAAAGATGCTATCACTTTTTCAGCAAAGACAAATCAAAAAGGAGGTGCCCAGTAGATGGAGTAAGACGACTTGATCATCATGAAAAGATATTCCTCTGTATCTTTTCACAGTAAATCCCCAGTGAGAAGCAGCATGAATTGATTCAATCTTTGCTACATTGAGAGGTGAATGAATGAGGCTCGGAGAGTAAGGCTGAGAAATTGAGAGAGAAGTAGATATAGAAAGAGAGAGAGAGAGACAAATAGTAGTCTTTGGGTGAGAGATGATCGTCTTGGGAAAAAAGCAATCAGTGCTCATTGATTTTCTCTGCTGGTTGAATGGAGGGTGTCTATCTGGAAGTCATTATCTGTCATCTGATCTGCTGGAGTGTTTACACACGTCGGCATGGACAGAAGCGCTCTTCTGAAGATGAGGATTAACACACACAGAGACAAACCAAACACAGGCTCACACAACAGTGGAACAGAGACTGTCCACTTTTCACCCTGCTCTCTATCCAACTATCACTTTTAAATCCATGGATTCCAAATGGAAACTCAAGTCCTGCAATACCCTATTAGTGTCTGCCCACATAGACTTAGGTGAATGGATGGTGTGTGTGAGGGGAAAATATACATAAGCGGGGCCTAGACAGCAAAACAGACAGATAGTCCTGTTTTGTATAGCCAGGCCAGACTAAATCAAACAATCCCTGATCCTATCACTAATAGCCACCGATAACAATCTTTAGCTACAACAACACCATCCTGTCTGCTGAAAAGCACAGAGGGATGAAGTAAGTGGAAGAAGGAAGCAAAGAGAGGATTCAGATAACAGGTCCTTTTAATTTTCTGAATGTGGGTGGTGTGAAGATGCATGAGACATTTTATTGCATGTGTGTAAGCCAATATGGTTTAGAAAGGCCAGGATATGAATCCACAGCTTTAAACTCCACACACATGAATACACACAAATGGGTCTGAGGGCAGCTCTGGGCAGCTTTTAGTTAAGTGGCCTGGAGAAGCCAAAATAATATCTTTGCTTCCTTTTTATCTGCTGCCTTATCCCCAGCTCTAACACGCCCTCACGTTTGCTTTTATTCTTTTTTCAGACAAACACAGAAAAGCTTTTTTCAGACACAGGACACACAACTTGCCTTAATATTTGCCACAGCCTCATTCAGACATGCATGACAGGGATAGAGTGGGTGGTGTGGATGCATATTTTTTCCATTTATGTAAGATTAGATATTATAGTGAACTAAAATGAGAAAGTGAGATATAAGACATAAGTGAGATATGAAGTGGGATAATAAGATACATGACATGAAGCTTTAGTTTTTATAAATATAACATGAAAAATTTGCTGTTGAATTTTGTTTCAGCTGGTTTATTCTGCAGGGGTCGCCAAAAAGAGCAAACTTGCATAATGAATTTGGCTTTGGTTTTACGCAGGACGCCTGACTCAACCTGGGTTTGAACAAGCTGCCTTAGGATTACAAGAGTGCCGCTCTAACCACCAAGCTAATGCAACCCTCAAATATTACATAAAATATTAACATGTATTGTTTACAAAATACAATAGAAAAGTTTTTATTACTGTATTTTAAGTATTCAGCATGAACTTTTTTTTGGTTATTTTAAGTCTTATTTATATTTTATTTTAGCAACAAAAACACCAACATAAAGCTTTTTGTATATTATTTAGCTAATTTACTAAGAATACTTGCTTCTGCTAGTATTTAATACTATTTACCTGAATAAAAATTGCATGCACTGTGTAGTAGCATGCAAAAAAAAATGCAATAAATATAAGTGGAACATATATAACAGCATATTCCCTTACAGTAAAGTTCTGCAACAAATGAGAACGAGCACCCTCCTTTCAAACAATGAGCTAGTTTATTCACAGGTTACAACCCAATTAACTTTTTGCCTTAATCAATTGCAGTGATGGTAAAGACATGGTGAAGGCATATGAAGTCAATGTTTGTGTGTGTATGTAAGCTCCCATGTAGAAACCCTCGTCCTGTGTTTGTGTGTGCCTGCATGGGGATAAATGAGTCATGTCATAAGAAATAGCTCATGCATAATTTCATTCATATTCATAACAAGCATGTGGTCTGCCACCGCCCGACAAGGGCCCACCACAACTCACACTCTGCATAATGCTATGTAGCCTGTGTGTTTTTACTTACGACAGGCAAGCAAACTGCAAGTCTGTGTTCCGTCATCTGTATGTTGTAGAGTACCATTTTATGCTCTTGTTTTGTCTGTTTGCATGAAATGTACCTCTGATTGTGCAAATGAGTGTGGATAAGAAAATGCATGTGTATCTTATGTGGGAGGTGGTTTGGTAATTTATAGAACCAAGTAGGTCTTTTTGATATTGCATGAGCATGTGGTGCATTCGGAACAACCCAAACCATCTGAGGTCAGCTCTTAAAATAAGCTCATTGACTAATGTAGGATTTCAAATCCACCAAGCAGTCAGTGATTTACATGATGGCCTAGCTGTTTATACAAGGTTAAGTAAGACCCTTGACCTGAAATGCAAATGACCAAATTGAAGTGATTTTGTGTTTTCTAAAAGCCAGAGTGGTTATAATTGTAAATTACAACTGGAGTGATCTTAAGTGTAATCCACTTTGCTGACTTAGCTAACAAGGCATCTTCACAGTGTATCCATGTTTGGACTTCGTACACATTGCTTGCATTGATGGCAGCGGGTTTGTCCAGCCCAGATGTTTACCCATATATTTGGCAGTAATTTAACTTTTCTTTTAAGCAAGATAGTGTAAAAGACTGGATTTTAACAAGATGATGATGCTTCTAAACTGTAAATTCATCTGAATTTGATTGTTTCTGCAAAGCAAGTTTAGTCAAACAAACATAACAAAATTAAAGTTTAGCTGTTTTTTTCTCACTTTGTCAAAGGTTTCCCTCTCCAACACTATGTAACTTATATAACTTGCTGCTATTTCACATTAAGCATTGATTCTAGACCCCCCCCCCCCACACACACACACACACACACACCCACACACACACACTGTCATTGACTTGAGTTGTGGCTACTCCCTGCACAGTTTCAGCAATTCTCAGAACGAGTGTGCCCTCTGCAGTGGCCATTGTTCTTTCATGGACCATTAGATGAACATGAACTCTCTTGGCGTTTTTTTGACCCAGTGACACTGGCCATAAAATCCACACTGGCCAACCTCTTCAATAAATTTATCACCCCATAAAATGGTCAGTGACTGGTCAATGAGACGTGTCGGTCACAGCACGTGCATGTGTGAAAGGTGGGCTTACAAGATTGCTGATCATTCTTTGTTGGTCTGATAAGCAATGCCTTTTAGTTATCAAAACAGGTACTACAGAATATAGTTTAAACTCATTTTTCTGTTCACTGCATATCTGCTTTGCTGCAAGTTAATGATAGTCTAGCAGGGCTATTCAACTGGCGGCCCAGGAACCAAATCAGGCCCATGGATTAACTCAGTTACCCCAGCAATGGGTTAATTTTAAATACAACTAGACTTTAAAACATAAAACAAACAAACTTAATGACAATAACTGTTATACGTCCAGCCCCTGAGCTCACAGCTTTCAGTAATTGTGGCCCCTTGAGCAGTTTCGTTGAACAGCCCTAGTCTAAGGTAATGAATGATTGAATTGACAAGGCAATGACTTGTATAGAAATTGCATTTTTACAGTACATCTTTTAGAGTACATCAGGTTTTTAGGCAAGCCAGTAGGAACTTTAATATCTACAATGCTCTGTATAAAGAAGTGATAGTTGCGACAAGATAAGAAAGCAAAAACATGACTTGAAATGCAGCATGTAAAGACATTTTTTTCTACCTTTTTTATGCAGCTATCAGGGGAGTTATCTTCATGGTCATTTATCATCTGCCAAGAAAAACAAAAACAACAACAACACAAAAAGAAACATATTAGTATAAGTATTCATCCCACAAAAACACCATTAGACAATTTAACACAAAAAAACTTCACGTGCAAGCAAATCTAATTTGGGCTGAGAACGATAACTCTTCATAAATGTATGGAAATATAAAACTGAGCATGCACCTTCAAAGACTATCAACCTTCTGGTGTGATCTGATGTGAGCGTGGGGCTTTCATGGTTCATCAAATACACCCTCTGGGTTACAAATATGACCAGAGGGACACAATAATGGGCTGGGAGGTCACAAAAACACCACCAGAAGCAAACATAACACTAGACACATTTAGATGAATGAATGCCCCATATTTGATGGTAATTGTTTGCTTCAGCATTGCATGAAATTTCCTCAAGAATGTGTGTGTGTGGTTGTCAGTGAGAGTGTGTATAATTAAGCCTTCAAGCAATATTTACTGGGGGCAGATGGGTGGCAGAATGCTCCCAGTGTCTGCCTGAGGAAATGGAGGAAGTCGGGGAATGATGAAGAGATGGTGTTGCCCTGCTGCTATGAGAGGGTGTTTCACACAAAAACCTGTCTCACTTCATCTGTCGGTCTCTGTTTCCTCTGCTCAGAAGCTCACTAAGAATAGAAAAAAGATGCAAACTCTTTTTTTCAGGGAACTTTAAGGTGGGGGGTCAACATGCCTGATTCATGTGAGATTATGCCTTCTCCACACACAAACGCACAGTATTTCTGAGGTTTCCTTTTCCTGCATCCTATCCTCACCATCAGCCTTTTAACAGTAGGTGTGTTGTATCAATGTTGTGACAAGACTGTCAAACTTTATATTTGAGCTGACATATTAAACTTTGTATTTCCTTGTCCAATGTGGTACACCGTGATTGGGAAAGAGACATTTATCTGTTGTGGAATCTCTTATGGAAACTGTGGGACCATTCTCTGAATGCTGGCGTACAGTAGCTTCTTGTATTCACCTTTCCGTGCCAGGCCTCAATTCACAGGAAATAATTATTAATTGTGAGCATGATTTAGGAGTGTGCACTTTCCCATGCAATCTAGATTGAAATGTTTCTGAATTTGTCCATAAGAACTTTTTTCCCCCATAAACAAGAAAAAAAAAACATCTGAAAACAGAGAAGCACACAGTAGTTTATTTTCTTCATTCACTTAAGATCGAACCAGATGGGCCACATGTGAACAGATGTAGTGTATTCTATGGTTTCCTACATTAGGCTGTCAAGGTATGTGTTTCTTAGTCTCACCAAATCTCACCAGCGTGTTTCAAGTCTCCATGTGGTTGTGGTTACAAAAGAGATACTTACAAAAGTGTTTTCAGACAATCAACCTATTTACTGTAGTTGTAAAGCTTTACAGATGCAAACAAAATGCATCAGAAAACATAACCTCATAATTTAAATTGTTTGCATTTTGTAAAGTACAGGCTGATTATTAAAGTGGAATAGGAGCATTTGTTTCCATGTTAATTTGTTGAGTTATAATAAACATGGAAAAAGTTACATGCAATAGGTTAACAAAGGTTTAGAATATTCCTTTTCAGTTTGTGACAGCTAGAAATAAATAAGATAAATAGGTTAATATGTTTGGTCTGCAAGTGAAAAGAAAAATGCTTATGCACTTTAAACATGAAAATACTATTGGCAGAAAAACAGAGGCAGTGTGTAAGAAAATAGTTGGGGTGGGCTTCTGTTTCTTGCAATGCCTCAAACCATCTGCAACAGTTTACAAAACCAACAGCTTGGCTGGGTCATCTAAAATGCTACCAGGCGCTCAACAACTACAGGACAATTTCTGGACTTTCCCCCTGCTCTGCTCAGCTACATGCCAAGTGTAAATATGTGTGTGTATCAAATTGTATGTGTGTAACCTAAAACTCCAAAAGACATGCAAGCAGACATGAGTGGTTTTACTGATGCCTTAATGTGTTTCAGCTTTAGGTGGGGGGCCGGGACTGTGTAGGCATTCTGTCATCCAAACCTCAGTTTGGGGTCCAAAACACTGAGCTCACTGTCAAAGACATACTAATTTGAAAGTTTCCTGTCTTTGACTTGAATGCATTTTTATTCCAGGTTGTTTGTCAACTGAAAGTGACCAAGCAAGATGATGGTTCTACGTTTTATTTAAATATATTTGTTAAAAGCACGAGAATGTGCAACAATGGCAATGGCATTAACAGCAGGTGGAGGTGCTCTTTTAACTCTAACACTTACTGTAAGTTTGCACAGACTCGGATACCAGACATACACAAACATTGAATATTTTAGTTCCAGCAGAACCCCATCAAACAAAATAAATACATAATTAATTAGGGAAGGAAAATGTGATTGGCCACCAACCGACAGAGCTATGATTTATGGCATGTGTCACATCATCTCAAGGTTTTTCTCTAGGGTGGTGAGACAAGTCCAAATACAGACTGGCTTATGTTCAGTGGGATAGATTTTCCACGATTCAAAGGAAGGTAAAATTGTCCATTTCTTCTATATCTAGCCTGTTAACTGCTGACATGTCAATATGTCTTACGGAAAGAGAAAACATTGAAGTGAGAGTAATTAGACAGAGTGTGTAAATGTGTGTCTAGGCACACAAACTTTTCTCTCCGGCCCATATGACCTCAAATATAAACAAATCTAGTTGAGGCTTGATGAAAGTGCAGCCACCTGCAGAATCCTTCTATCAAGCGATGTCCAGACCCTCATTTGGAATATATGTAACAGTGTATGTATGTGTATGAGAGACTGTGTGTTTGCATCTCATCATGTCTGTGGTGTGAGATTTCACCTTAGGCTGGGGGAACAGAAAACCCCACTATTACTAATATTTCATAGCGCTGTTTTTGCTATTGGACAGAATCAGGACTTTTTCAGCACCACCTAAGTACGATTCCAGTTGATGACATGATGACTAAGCAGACAGATGAAAACACAAAACTCAGCGAGTAGACTGCCTCATTGTTTCTACAAGATCTGACACAGCCTAAAGCAAATGCAGTGCAAAATAAGACAACATTTATTTCTAGAACCTTTTTATACGCAAAAACACCAGAACTTCCCCTAAAGACATATCCATTCATGGTCCACTATGAAGATGTAGGTTTGCATGCACAGCTAAAGTCTGTCCTTGAAAGGAGCATAGCAACCGAAGTACAGGAGGACATTAAGGCTTCCTCTTCATCATTCATAGAGGAGTGAAGAAAAGAAAAGGGCCCCACTTGGAGGTTTGTATCATAGGAAAATGTTAGGATTCTGTTGCCAAAAACAATTCTACTCAACTTAGGATAATGTGAGGCAGTACAGCAACATAGCCCAAAGGATGACTGCGGATGTCACAAAGCCGCAAGTTTCCAAAAAGAACCAGCAGCAAACAAACCTCAAGGCTTTTTGAACCAGGGCCCTGACTGACAACCCATTGGCTGCAAGAGCCACACCAAGAAAGCCACAGATTGAAAGTTTTGCTACACATATATTGGGAACTTTTGCAGCTTCTTGGCACATTGACAGAACTTCATTGTGGTGGCAATGCCTTGAATGGGTCATTGATCTTTTTGACATACAGTATAGACAACACGGGATGAGGAATTTCATGAGTTGTGTTGAATAATAAAGCTCAGAAATAGTTTGTGACTGAAATCATTGTAGATAAACAAAGACAATTTTGTTTTTAATGCGTGAAGAATTTTTAAAATGGTTGACCATTATCTCAAACAAGATCTCAACAAATGGGTCAAACTCCTTTAACTTTAGGATACTGGGAAACCTGATCACTTTCAAATTGACAAAACAAAACACCAAAAATGGAAGCAAGTGAACAAGAGAAACAAGTCTCCAGTGTGTTGCTATCATATGGAATCCCCGATAACAAACCTTTTACAATTGCTTGCCAGAGTCTGTTTGACTGGGTATACACGTCTAATTCAATCTGCTTTTTACCATCAAGTCAGATAGTGCCTGCCTGTGGCTCCACATCTTTTCTCTGGCATGTCTTTTAAAAGGGTGTAAAATGCAGCTATTTCTGGACTTCCCTCAGATAGGGATTTTGACCGCTAGCCCAAAACAAAACCAGAACTGTGACTTCTTAAAAACATGCCTTAACAATGAGGTTGCTCACTGAACTTAAGTCAAGAAGTGAGAAAATCTAAAGCAATAATAAAGGGCTTGAAATTTGCAACACTAAATACCAGGAAACTGGGCGTACATCAGACAGATATTTTTTCACGATGACTTTAATAGGTGGGAGACTCGCAGTGCTTTTGCCAATGCAAACAATAAGGGCACTGCTGATAGCAAACTTTCATGTTCTTAAATATATAAGGAGCAAAAATTTCCCCGACAACTATCAATATAATCACTGATTACTCATTGTCATTTAGCTTTACCTGACTTTTGATGGTGAGAACTTTTTAAAGCTCATTGTTAAATGTATACATATTAAGTCTACATAAATTTATCCTTTCAAACATCCCCAAGAGATTAGATTTGCTTGACACAATGTTGCACTAATGCTAATTTTGTTACCCAACCCTTAATCCAGATGGGTCAGGGTGCGGCCTGTGACAGAGCTGAGAACTGTTGGCAAGATAGAACTTAGTGCACAAAGGTTAGATTTGGAAGACAAACAGTGAGAACTATTGTGTGACTCTGAAAAGTCATGGCCATTTGTTAAATACAAGCAGCTAATATTTACTGAACGAGCTTTGACCCTGTATGTCCTGAGAGTCTTTGTGTGATTTATGAAGAAAATGCCATAGTGAAATCTTCTGGCAGGACTTGCATTGACCCCAGACAGACTTGTCTCATCATTTCACTGTCCTCCATGATTCACAGATCTTGCATACACACATGCAGTGTAGGTGTCAAATCATTGGCACAAAAGAGCCGATCAAATATTTGCATTAACCCACTGGCCAGCTAAAGAGTTTGAAGCTTTTACTTTGTAGAAATGTGATGTCACAAATTGACATTTGCA